CTCTCTGAAATCAATAACAACATATTTAGAAGAAAGAAAAGCAATGCGGTGTGTCCATTCTGTGGGAAACTGCAGAAGTGTCCACGGTGAAGCTGCCCTTCGTTGCCCTTCGTGCCGGGTGGGTTCCGCCCCTCTGCCCCTGCAGGACTCACTTGGGCTTGGGGCGGAAGGGCAGCAACATCTTCCAGGTGTCATGCTTCCCCCGAGGCGGGGCAGCTGCGCTCCCAGGCGGCTCAGGCTCCTGGATTTGTGGGTAACCGTCTTCAGGGGTGTATGTTCTCTTGGGAAAGAAAAAACAAAAGAGCGTCCGTTTCAGACCCATAAATTCCACCAGAGCGGGCATTAGGTCCAAGGAGGACGGATCCTTCCACATCAGCTTCCTCGCAGCTCTGGAGTCAGACAGAGAAAGACAAGTACCCCGTCCTCACTGGCATGTGGAACCTTTCCCATCCTCACCCCAGAATATTTCCCATTGACCTTTAGAGAGCAGCAGGGAGGGAGGAGAGAAGGAGAGAGAGAGAAACATCGATGTGAGAGAGACACATCAATGGGTTGCCTCTCACTGGGGCCCGGATAGGGGTGGGGATGAACTTGGAACCTGGGTACATGCCCTTGACTGGGATTTGAACTCATGATCCTTTGGTCTAAGGGCTGATGCTCTAGCCACTGAGCAAACCAGCCAGGGCAACATGTGGAATCTTTTAAAAAAGAAAAGGGAGCTCATAGACACAGAAAAGAGATGGGTGGTTGCCGGAGGCAAGGTGGGTGGGTGGGTGGGCAAATGGGTGAAGGTCAAAAGGTACAACCTTCCAGTTACAAAGTAAAAGAGTGCTGGGACAGCAGCCACAGCTCAGTCACGCCGGGTTATATGTTTGATCGTTACTGCAAGAGGAGATCTTAAAACGTCTCATCATACGGAAAAGAAAGGTGTTGCTCTGTGTGGTGACGAATGTTCCCCAGACCTATTGTGGTGATCATTTCACAACATATACAAATACCGAGTGGTATGCTGTGCACCTGAGACTAACATATGGTCCATTACATCTCAGTGTAAATAAATCAACAAACAAACAAATGAAAGGATCGATGGGGAAAAGGTTCCAGACTGTGGTGCCTTCAGGGCGAGGGACTTGGGGCGAGGAGACCAACAGCTGAATGTGATTGTCAAGGTCCAAGCTGGTGTGTTAGCAATGGGTCCAGAGGCACCCAGTCTCTATATATAAAAGCCTAAGCGACCGTTCGACCAGCAGCTATGATGCGCACTGACCACCAGGGGGCAGATGCTCAATGCAGGAGCGGAAACCACAGGCATGGAAACATGGAACAGACTGATGAGTCTCAGAGGGAAGGGGGGAAGGGGAGAGCAGGAAGAGATTAACCAAAGATCTTATATACCAACTAGAGGCCCCGTGCACAGATTCATGCACGGATTCATTCATTCATTCATTCAACCCGGTGCACGGTAGGGTCCCTCGGCCTGGCATGTGGGGATTGGACTGAAGCCGACTCTCTGACATCCCCCAGGGGGTCCAGGATAGTGAGAGGGCATAGGCCAGGCCAAGGGACCCCACGCACCAGGCCTCTAGTGTTATTGTAAGTGCGCACATAGATGAATAGGTAATAGAGAATACATACACATGCATGAGCCATGAAGGCGTGCCATGACCAAGGGTTATGATTCATCTAATTACAGAAGCATGAGGTGCATTTGCAAAAGTCAAGGTTGAATAAATATGGGACAGCATTCCTTGAGCTAATAATTGGTGACCATGGGGAAGACCCTCCCCCGCAGCTCCCTGGGGCCTTGATGCGAAGGAGATGGACTCACGTAGCTAAGTCCCGAGACCATGCCGTCGCCCACATCGAAGCCGAGATTCACGACCCCGCCGCCGGAAGAGCTGGGGACCCAGCATATCTTCCTCCTGGGCATTTTCAGTTGTCCTGCCGATTCTTCGTTTTCCAAAACCAGAGACTCTGAAAAAGCAACAGGTAGGAGCGGCTTAGACCCAGCCCCACGCGGGCAGGAGAGGAGGCCGGCCCCCTGCAGGGAGCATGCGGGGCGGGCACGGGGTTGGGCCCTGCTCTTCCCTCTGCCTGGGATGGACTTGGCTCCCTATCTTTATTTTTTAAAATATGTTTTTATTGATTTCAGAGAGGAAGGGAGAGGGATAGGGAGATAGAAACATCATTGATGAGAGAGAATCATGGCTCAGCTGCCTCCTGCATGCCCCCTACTGGGGATCGACCTATGAAACAGTTCAATTCCTCGTCAGGGCACATGCCGGGGGTTGAACTGTGACCTCCTGGCTCATAGGTCGATGCTCACCCACTGAGTCATGCCAATCGGGCTCGGCTCCCTACTTTTTAACATCCTTCACTGCCCCAGCCCGACTTCACTTGGGGAACCCCTTCTCCAACTCCCCACTCCCCACCCCACCCCCATGGGCCAGGCCAGTCTCCTTTCATATACCAAGTCTGCCCACAGAACTATGCCGCTTCTGCCCTGGCGGGTGGCTCAGGTGGTTGGGCATCGTCCTGTGCACCGAAAGGTCGCCGGTTCTATTCCTGGTCAGGGCACAGGCCCGGGTCGCAGGCTCGATCCCCCGTGTGGGGCGTGCAGGAGGCAGCCGGTCCATGATTCTCTCTCATCATTGATCTCTCTCTCCCTCTCCCTTCCTCTCTGAAATCAATACAAATGTTTTTTAATAATAATGATAAATAAAATAAATTTTAAAAAATCCTCAAAGGAGGATTATAAAAAAACAAACCATGCTTCTTCTCTTATCCCGGTTTGTAATTGTACATTCACTGTTTGTTCACTGTTTGATTGTCAATTGTTCACTGTTTAATTTGATTTACTGTTCAGTTGTCAATCACTGTCTGTTCCGCGTTCAATTCCCAGCACTGAACGGAGGCCAGGGCCCTGCCTGCTTTGCTCACTGTGAGTCCCCGGGCCTGGGGCGTGGGACGGGCTAGGAGGGCAGCCAGGTGCTCGGTGAGTAAGCAAGGAAAGGCACACACGGTGCCATTTTCTGACGCCTGGTTTTCAGACTCCGGCAGTGGGTCTGGGCAGGACTGAGGGCAGTGGTTCTCAACCTCGGCTGCACGTTAGAATCACCTGGGAGTCTTTGTAAAATCCTGATTTTTGGGCCTCCTCCTCCGGAAATTCTGTTTCTTGGTTACTAATGTTGCGGCCCCACCCCATAACAAAGAAACAGAATTCCCACAGGATGAGGCCCAGAAATCAGGATTTTAAAGAGATTCCCAGGTGATTCTCATGTGCAGCCAAGGTTGAGAACCACTGACTTAGGGCCTTGGGTCACCAAGTGTATTTCATCTCCCTTTTGCTTTCGCCTTTCTGAATGTGTGACTCACTCACTCCCAGAGCAGCCGCTGCCTGGGGTAGGAGAGGGATGGTAACAGGGAGTCTTTCTGAAGGAATGGAAAGAGAAAGTGGACGACTCAGTGGTTCTGCATCGACCTATGCCCCAGGAGGTCATGGTTTGATTCCAGGTCAGGGCACAGGCCCAGGTTGTGGGCTCCATCCCCAGTGCGGGCCGTGCAGGAGGCAGCCGGTCCATGATTCTCTCTAATCGTTGATGTTTCTCTCTCTCTCACTCCCCCTTCCTCTCTGAAATCAATAAAAACTTATTGGAAATTGGCGTGATTCCGTAGAGAGAGGCC